CAGCTTGTCTTGTCATTGTGAGCATGTTACCATGTTGATGTTAGCATTTACCTCTAAGCATTGGATCTAATGTTAATTTAGGTTCTGTATTCTTCTTCAGTGAAACTGTCTGGTGTAAAGCAGCTGTCCTCCCGATAAATACTGAGCTCCATCAGAGCGTCTAAAAGTTGAATTCTGTTTCCTCTACAGAGTGTCCTCTGTCCTGTCATGTCACATTTATAACTACAGTTTTTTGTTTTGCTGCTGAAATGCCCCGCAATATTTGCTGTGAGTTTTCTGAGCACATAGAAGCAATTAAAATGACTGACAGCAGGCTCATGAAAGTAAATCGTTAAAGAAAACACTCAGCGTAACAAACGCTACAATGTAACACACAAAGAAACCACTGGAACAGAGAGAGATGTGACCCACGACCACTTCATCATAGTTTATAATAATGCAGCACAGTGAGGATCCAGACGTTTCACAGAGGAGCGTCTGTCTGTTAACAGACTCCAGTCTGCAGTGGAGTTCAGACACTTCCCTGATAAACCACAGAGCTGTGGAGGAACATCAGGCTTCATGATCAGAGACAGTTTTCATATCACATCCCTCTGCTATGAGTCTGCAATTCAATCAATCAATTGATGGGTTTTATTTTGTGCCATTCTTCCGCCATTATAAGGTACAAGGGCCCCTGAATTTTCAAGTGAATGGGAGAAGACACTGATTGGTTTATTGCATGTTACGCCCAAAACACTTTTGAAACATGTGCCTGGTGCAATGACCGTTTTGTCCACCATTAAACTAGCAACATTGGAGTTGGACACGCCCAAACACACTTAGATCATTAAAATAGGGCCGTTAGTCCTGTTAGGGTTATGTGCCAAGTGAGCAACTTTTGTAATTTTCATTTTGTAAAGTATCTTGTAACAGCATCCCGTTCACATAATACATCCATGTTGCAGCTGAGCTAAATTCCAGGTTTTGACGGAAAGACATCATCCCTGGTTTGCTCTGTTAAAACAATCCGTGTATGGTTCGTTCTTTCATTATTTCATATTAAAACCAAAACTGATAAACAGAAAACAAAAAAACAGACATCGGTTTTTGTTTTTCTGTTTTAAAACCAAAACGGAAAATAGTGATTTTGATATTTAATGAGTCCGATTTGTGTAGCTTTGTGTGTTACACTTGATAAACCTGCAGCAGATACACTTGGGCGAGGGCGGTGCCTGATTTTAATGTAATTAAGATGAGCTTGAACATCAACATAAGTGGGTTTTTAGTTTGACAAACAGGACAATATTATATAGCTGCAGTACCGGAGGCTGCAGCTATTTAATATTGATTAATATATTTAGTTTGTAACTCACTAGCAACTGGAACAGGATAGCTTTCCTGAGAATCCTCCGGTTTTTAAGATTTCTCAAATTAATTCAGTGATAGTTTTCAGTACATCCACTGGTACACAGCAAACATGAACTGTTATTAGTTTATTCGGTGAGCTTTAAATTAACGAATCATACACAGATTAAAATGTTCGTTAATTTTTGTTCAGCCTCTCTACACTGTTTCGATCCGACCTTTATTTTCTTTCTGAGATGGAAGAATTTAGCCTCCAGCTGCAGGAACACATGGATTATGCTAAAATCAGGAGGTCAGACTTCACCCAGCCAGAGGGAACGACCACTGACTGTCCAGTGCGACGGTTCCACTGGCAGCACAACCCATTGTAAGGTGAACGAGGGGGAGCGGGGGGCTGGAGCATACAGGGTGAGGGAGAGGAGGTCCCACCCTGGCCTTAGCCTCAAGAAAAAACCCTTGATATTCGGGTATTTTCTTAGATGCTCAGGTAACCAGCTGCTTCAGATCCGCCCAAAACAAAATGCTTACTTGATGCTGACGAGGAATTTTGAGTGTTCGAGGCTCTTTAATATAGTGCACTTCTACAATCATATTCGTCACAGTTGATGATATGCGATGAGCCCCGAAAAGAAATAGCCTTAGGCCTATATAAAATTAAATGTAAAAATATTTAGCCTAATATTGACTTTTTTTTTAACAAGATACAAGAACACTCCCGAAGAAGTCTCCCGATTCAAAGGTCCTGGCCCTCCTTTCACCCCAACCATGTTGTCACTCAGTCTTTTCTGTTAAATATCATTTACCTGCCTTTACCGTCACAAACTGGCGCTACAGGGCGTTGACCTGTGATGCTAGAGGGATCCCCAGTGCGTTACAAACCCCGATAGGCCTTGACCATGCCATGTGACGAGTCGGGGAGTGAGAACGAGTTGTAGGGACTCAACACCGGTCAAAGATAGAACAAAACGCACCTCCTCTGTTTTACGTTATGTGTTTAAAACACAAGAAACTAAACAGATGTCTGTTTTTTTGTTTACCGTTTTTCCATTTTTCCGTTATGGTTTTAAAACAGAAAAAACAAATAAACGAAATAATGAAAGAACGAACCATACACTGATTAAGAACAAACAAGTTACACTCAATTCTGTATCATGACTAGAGATGAAACGATTACCAGTTTAACGGTAAACCATGGTAAAACGGTTATTATTACCGAGCTATTATAATCTCATGGCAAACACTGTCCAGCGTCTCCCAGAAGCAGGCACGCATGCTCAGAATGCAACGTGGGTTTGTTTGGGTCAATGACAACACGGCGGAAGACAACGCCGAGATTTTTCAGTCACTCTGGTCGTATTTTAGTTTTTATGAGAGTGCTGAGGGAAACTCGAATGAAGAAAATGACCTTATAGTGAACGCAGGGTGAGTTAACTTTTAGCTTTGGTTTGTCTCTGACTTGCTAATAGCTTGTAAACTGAAGCTCTCAGTGTTGCTGCTCATGCAAAAACGCTACACATTGCTGTGTGCGTCGTGTGTCTGCAGAGTCTATTCGTCCACTGCACATAACACGTTACACTGTTCAGCCAACCAACCAGAATCATCTAGAAACGCTACAGACTGCTCTGTATTTATGTCAGTTGTTGGGCTCCCTGTAGTTACTATCACTGTCTTCTAAAGACTTATTTGTTTTCATGTAATTGTCCACAGGGTCATTGTATTAACTATATAATATAACATAAATATAAATCTTGATAATGCACACTGATGATTTTCATTTGTTTACAAAAGGTTTTGCTGTTATTTTAATTTTTATGCAAACAAAATGGCAATTGTATTTGTTGTTGTCAATATAAAACTTGTTGAAATGGTTTCAGTGTGTATCAGTACATCTTAATATTTTTTGGCGCATTTTCACAATACCATGATAATACTGATAACCATGATAATTTTGGTCACTATAATCGTGATATGAAATTTCATCATCATGACTGATGGCAAACCGTGCCAAAGGTCTCTTTCACTGCCATTTTTATTCTTCCAGAGAAAAAGTCAATTAAATTAAATTATCAAGAGAATAGCTTTTTCCACTTTGAACTCTCCAGTGTGACCACCTTCTCAGAGGTCATGACAGTAAAGACATTTGTTTAGTGGTAGTTGGCTCAAATTCTCATGTCAAAGTTTGTAAATCTTGAAGCAAAATGTATTTAACTGCCCCGAGTGAAGACATTTCAACAAATGAATCCCAGTTAACAAGAAAACCACCCCCCAGGTTATCTGAAGTTAACAGTCTGGTGTTTCTTTTTTCCTATTTGAGCTGGTTTTACTCCAGTTATACTAATTTGTTCAGCTGAGTCAGACAGGAATTCATCTTGTTCCGCTCTTCCCATGTTTCTGCATGTGTCAGAGACGGAGATACTGATCTGCTCCTTGTAAGGACCAAGGCAGGTTCAGACACAGCTTGCGGAGTCTGTGCAACACATTAAAGAACACCCACGTCATTTGCTCCATTACACAGAAGCTGTTTCATGATATGTTTGAGGTTGCAATCTTATACACTCAATTCAAGGACATTTACCCTCCGCTTTTGATTTAGTACCTGACACATCAATCTAATCATGCTACAATTTCTTCCTAGCATACATATATCTAGATTTATAAAGGAAACTGTAAACGCTGTAATTCAAATTAAACTAATATATAGTCAAGAAGGGTATAAATATCGTACTCTTCTAACTCTTTGGGGATGTTCAAGAAAACTGACTGTCATGTTACAAGTTCATTAACCTTGTACAGAGCTCAAGATGACGTTTTTTTAGTCAAGAAAAAACTGAAAAACACTTTTTTTAAAACTTTTTCTTTTACATGTTTGTGAGTACACATTTCAAACACAACATTTGGAAATGGCTGAATTCAGTTGTACCCAAAGTCAGATGAGAACATCAGTGTCAATTTAGAATAATGTCTGTCTGTCCAGTTAGCCTATTGGAAGCTAGGGGAAACTGCTAACTTAGTAGAATTAAAAGTTAAAAAGAAATACCATCCAACAACTCCAAAGCTGTCTTATCAATACGTTCCATCTTGTTTATTTTTACACTTAGAAACTAAAAATAAGTAAATATTGCAAGAACAAGTAGCTAAAAGATGCTAAAACACTCCATGGAGATGAAGGGTTCTGCAGACTAATGCGGTTTCAAAGACTTAAGTGATAACTTGGCAGCAACAACCTTGACAAAAGGTCAGATTGTCTATTGCACTTTGAATGACATTAGAGCTTAAACTAGCGGCCTGGTGTTTACAGATCACAGCAGAATGGAAACAATATTATTATATATAATATTCAGCTCATTTTCAACAACAGATCACTTCCTTTGTAGCACAACAATTTGCACAAGTATACACCAGAGATTAGAAGAGATTAGAACAGCCAATTCTTATTCATTTAAGCAAAATGCTTTCTTACAGTTAAGTAAGTTTAGTTTGATGTCAACAAATGTGTTCCATCAACAGCTTCAATATCACAGCCAGCCAGAAGTACCAACCATAGAGAGCATTTTGTCTGTGTGTGTGTGTGTGTCTGTGTGTGTGTGTGTGTGCGCAAGTCAGTGCTGATCTGTCCTGAAACAGAACAAGCAACACAACTCTGGATCACTTACCTACTCTGAAGTTGGGTGCTGTCAGGGTGTCTGTAGCATGACCGTTCTCACTGATGATGGTGGTGGTGTTCCCCAGCTCGCAGTTGTTATGACACCTGCCTCCTATGCAGGTTAATTTGCAGATGGTTGGTGTGAAGACCACCTTGATCCTTCCTGTGTGGTTGCCCACTGCCGCCGAAAACAAGGTGCAAACCAAGAGGAGGGGGAGGGAGAGCAGACCAACTTTGGTTATTCTTTCATCCATTAGAAAGTGTTAAATCACTTTCAAGTTCAAGCTCGTCACATTCGACTGGTGAGGCTCCAGTCAAAACAATGACAAAATATCTACTATGTAATTTTCAATATTGAAAAACTTGTGATGTGTCTCCTCCCTGCACTTATATACTTCCAACTACCCCTCTCTATCGGTTTCTCCTCCTCTTCCACTGCTCCTAAATCCAGTGGCGCCTCTGAAACGTGAGCAGGAATAAAGAAAAAAAGTCTGGGAGAGACAGAAGTCAGCAAACAAAACTCTGGGATGTCTTCCAATTCTTCATTATAAGTCTCTGAGAGGTGGATATTGGCATATCAGCTTACCAAGCTTTATTCCGAAACAGACAAACAGCAAGCATGCCACCTTCAGGTCCTGTGCCTGCGTTCCTCTCTGGTTTTCTCCTTATCCTTTCTTTCTTTCTTCTTAGTTATTATTGTTGAGGTTTAGCAAAATATGCTTAGGAAATTTAGCACCTAAAGCAAAGAAAAAGAGATCTAAATATCTTTTCACACCAAGATCAGGAAGTAGTAACCTTTAGAAGTACTGTAATACAAAAGCTTATCTACCTTTCTCCACATTCGCCAAGTTCTTCCCCACCCTAATAAAACCCAGCCCTCAGTACAGACTGACAGGAAGAGGATATGAGTCATAACTTTGACAGAGACACTGCATCACATCTCAAAGTACCTGACACATTTAATCTTTCTAACTACTGTACAACAATCTTACATTTCTTTAGGTACATTTAGCTTTTTTCTTTAAACTTAATTCACTTCTCCCAATCTTTTAATATCTCTTCCCTGTGCGGTTCTTGGCATCCCTGTGTCAGGTCCAAACCTCTGTCTCCAGTGCTCAGTGCTTTGTCTGTGGTTGTCAGCTGTTCACACCAGAGTGCAGACGCATGGAGTAAAGCCAAGCACCCGGAGGAATGTTTTCTAAACCTGAGAGGCAGGGAAAACCACTGGGTAAGACGTCCCGGGCTACCTAAACATTTGCTAATAGGTGCAAAAATGAACTATTAAAGAGGGACCTAATATGATGTAGTGGTTACAAGCAAATGCCAATGGAAAGGTGGTTTTAGACATGCTGCCAGGACCATATATGGACGTCCAAGATTTGAAGTCTAAACATGGTTTGCCCAGTTCCCTTAGGTGCGTAGATTATTTCTAAAAGAAATAAGAAAGAAAACAGAGTGGCAAGGTAACTCTGAATGGACAGCCTGAGTTCACAGTCTCTCGCTTCTTTAAAAGATCACTGAGGTTAAAAATAACCAACTGGAAACTGTTTACCTACAAATTGACTGAGAGAATGATCGGAAGGCCTACATTAGACAACAACTAAATTAAAGTGTTTAATGGTTACTGATGCTGTTGAAGTTTTATTAACATTTGTGATTTTGTAAACTGTCTTATAATTTCTATTATATTAAGTGACAACGAAATTGCTGATTTAAATAACATTGAATCACAGGTTTTTAATTGAGTTAACCCTGACCCTAAACCTAAAGACTAGGCCTGGACGATTTTACCTAAAATCAAAATCACAATTGATTGAAAATTTCACCTCAATTACGATTATTGAACAATTATTTGTTTTTGAATACTGATTTTTGTTGTTATTTTTTTGCCCTCAAATTTCGCTGACAAGGTTTGTACTACACCCGCGGTGTCTCTACGGTGGAGTCACGGTGTGAGCCGCTATGTTGGTCTGTTGTTTTGCCCTCCAGGTCACTGCACATGTCACGTGACTGAAAACTATGAAAAGACCATCTCTCTTTTCACCTAATCCTACCTTGTTCCAAGACTAAGCCCTGAATGACATGTTTCAGATCCAGACATTTCTGAAAATAGGGTTGACACACCAACTTCAAAGGACTAGCTCTGACACCAACTGCTTGATGTGCTGTTCTGTAAATAAAAAAAATACAGCAAAGATGATAGCCAGTGGCAAGCTGACCACCGACATGCACTTACATTCTGTGCTTCCGTAATAACAAAAGATAAACAAAATAATACGTTTATATATATATACTCACCTAAAGGATTATTAGGAACACCTGTTCAATTTCTCATTAATGCAATTATCTAATCAACCAATCACATGGCAGTTGCTTCAATGCATTTAGGGGTGTGGTCCTGGTCAAGACAATCTCCTGAACTCCAAACTGAATGTCAGAATGGGAAAGAAAGGTGATTTAAGCAATTTTGAGCGTGGCATGGTTGTTGGTGCCAGACGGGCCGGTCTGAGTATTTCACAATCTGCTCAGTTACTGGGATTTTCACGCACAACCATTTCTAGGGTTTACAAAGAATGGTGTGAAAAGTTACCACTGTGCAGGCTGGTGGTGGTGGTGTAATGGTGTGGGGGATGTTTTCTTGGCACACTTTAGGCCCCTTAGTGCCAATTGGGCATGGTTTAAATGCCACGGCCTACCTGAGCATTGTTTCTGACCATGTCCATCCCTTTATGGCCACCATGTACCCATCCTCTGATGGCTACTTCCAGCAGGATAACGCACCATGTCACAAAGCTCCAATCATTTCAAATTGGTTTCTTGAACATGACAGTGAGTTCACTGTACTAAAATGGCCCCCACAGTCACCAGATCTCAACCCAATAGAGCATCTTTGGGATGTGGTGGAACGGGAGCTTCGTGCCCTGGATGTGCATCCCACAAATCTCCATCAACTGCAAGATGCTATCCATCAATATGGGCCAACATTTCTAAAGAATGCTTTCAGCACCTTGTTGAATCAATGCCACGTAGAATTAAGGCAGTTCTGAAGGCGAAAGGGGGTCAAACACAGTATTAGTATGGGGTTCCTAATAATCCTTTAGGTGAGTGTATGTACTCTGAAGAAAGTCACAGGGAGACAAACTAAGTCGGAGTTTACCTGAGTTTCCAGCATTTTGTGTGTTGCTGTCTCCGGTATGTCTGTCTCTGTTTTGGCTCGCTCATTAGTTCAATCTCAAACCTGAACTGAAAACTACACATGGGCTCTTTAAGGTCCGCGAAAAATAGCGGTCATGGCAGTTTAAATCAGTCAGTTTAAATGTGGATGTTGACAGATGGCATAGATATGTGCACTACAGGCCAGGAATATGCCTCAAAAACCACTTCAAATTCTCTTCACACGGAAATTGTGGACCAGAATAGTTTTCAGCTTTTCAAACAGTTCTGAATTCTACACAATCCTAACAATCACACCAGTCACACCAATCCTAGCATGTGAAAACTACTCTGACAAGTCTTTGAGCAGTAGGTCTCTGGCCCTAGCGATGATAAAACATTTCTAACTCCTCTGAAACTTCTTTGTCTCTGTAAGTATGCGCACGTTGCGGGCAGACTTCTTTGGTTGTATCAAGCATATGGAAAGGGACTCAGGAGAGCATCTCAGACACAACATAGACATCAATCAACTTGATTCATCCAGGCTGCAGAGAGGCTGGAGAGATTTCAGCACGGAGGAATGATAGTGTAAATACTGAAGTCAGGGGGTAAATTTCATTCTTACTGATGCTTTTCATTGGACTGCAGGGGGTTTATGTGAGCCATGCAAGGAAATAAAAGTGAAGAGGCCTCAGAGGTAAAGTGTGTGCAGTACAGACACCTATGTCTTAGTCTAACTCTAAGTCCACTGAGTCCGTCTGTGTCACGTTTCAGAATCAGAGCATTTTGCCTTCCTGATTTTGCTGACATGTTTGTTGATTTGGTAATCAGTGCTTCATTTTTGTGCTTCATCTATGATTAAGTAGGATACGTCGTTAAATGGTTTCTTTTTTTGTCTGTTTTAACAGTGTTTAGTGTTGTATTATGATCGGGAGTCAGAGGGTGTTTTATTTTGAAAATTGAGTGTTTTACTTCCTGCCTGGTTCGATCAGCTCTGGGCTGCTTGACGCTTCCGTCAAAAATAGAGTAGCTACTTATTCTGTGTGGAGCGGAGCAGAGAGAAGCGTCTGGGAGACTTCAGGGACGCACATTGACTAGAATGGCCACGATTACCTCCGTCAACTGCGGCGCAGCCGTAACGCGATGCAGGCAGATTCAGTGACTTTGAAGTTAAGGGTTGACCAAGAACACATTTTAAGGACAATACTCATTAGTTCCTCTCCCTTGCTAGCTTGATTTTTAGGTAAGACTAACTTAGTCTAGACTTAGTTTAGACTAAGACAGACTTAGTCAACTGATCTAATGACTGATGATGATGAATTACTAATTATTTTAAAGATATTTTTTATAACTCGATTTATTAACACTTAATTTGTCCACAATAATATCAAAAACTTGTTAATAACTTGTTAAAATCATTAATAATTCGGTATTTGATTCAGTCATCATCCTGAAAAAGTGATAATGAGTCCAAAGCGAGGTCTCACGCGCCAATGCACGTTATGCAAAAGCCCATTTTTTGCTAACCAAGCTAGCTAGCTCTAGCCTCTCGTCCAAATATGGTCACTTCTGGTTCCAAAAAAAAAACAAGATGGCAACGGACAAAATTCCAAACTCGAGGCTTAAAAGTAGTACTCCAAAAACCATCTGAACCACCAGGTGAAACTCAGATATTTGGAGTTGATGATACAAAGTACTAAAAGTAATTTAGCGTTAGGTCTGGGTTTGGATCTCCCTTCAATATAATCATGATATCATGAAGTATTTCACTCTGCTTAATAATAACCTTTCAGCTGTTGAATGGAAAATTAAGTGATTTCATTGGTCAATATTAAAGTGTTATCCACTGTCTGCTGTGTTCCTCCAAATTAAAACACTTGATAATCATTCACTGCATCATCCAGTACAAAATGATCCTCATTCAGTCATCAATTGTTGATCGCTGTAAATGATCTGTACTTGTATAGCGCCTTTCTAGTCTTTTCAACCACTCAAAGCGCTTTTACACTACATCTGCATTCACCA